AAACCAAGACTAAAATTCAACCTGAAGTCCTCTAAAACCTCCAAGAGTTAAGAATAAAAGTGTTTTTCTGCACATCCGTCAGTAAAGCCACTCATACGTGAGGTTTCTCGGGCACAAGTTTTAAGCTGAGAGTAATTTAAAATGCTTCCTGGATGAGAAGTTATTCTCACACTGTTTTCATATGAAAATAGGAATTTCTGTTAAGGGACAACTGTGTGGTACTCTGCCACCTCTGGAGCTCACTCCTCTGTAGCGAGAGCCAAAGGCATGGCTATTAGGTAAATTAGAAACTGGTCTAAGTACAGCTAAACTGGCTGCCAAAGAAATTTAAAATACATATATTTTTGACAAGTTATGCTCATTTTTACAATAAACAGCAGGGTCTTCTTACACATTCTTGGAAGATGTGTCGTGCTATGGCAGCTGCTTATAAACCCAGTAAATGAGGTAAGGTGCTAAATTTCATCTGAAACCAAACCATCTTTTGTTTCCCCAGGTGATGACATGAAATAGGACAGAAATAGCTACCTGCACTATGACTGTTCAAAGACTAACCTTTTTCTTTTTTTTTCCCCCGTTAAAATATAAATTCAATTAGTTACTTCCATGCTTAAACAGAACTGCTGCTGCTGAAATTATACTCTAGCGATAATTGCAATCCAAGAGTGATCTAATTATATACAAGTCTCAGTAGCTGTATTCCCACGTTGCTTCCTACAACCCGGATTCACTACAACTCATAAGTGAAAACCACATCGTTTTCATTCATTCTCCCTTAAGACTACATGACTTTATATATGTTTAATGAGAATGGAGTTAGTCTATTAGTAAGCTTACTATAAAAATGTGAGTTTCTACCTAACAAAAGAATAAAAAGGCACTTCAGCTGCATGTAAAAAAACAGCTGATGGGCTAAACTGTACATGGGAAAGAACATTCTTTTAATTAAGGTACTGGATTAGGATTCAAGGACCAGCTTTACTTTTTGGCTCTGCCACCAGCTTCCTGTGTGACCCAGGGCAAGAAACTTCATCGCTCCACAGCTCAGTCTTTCATCTATAAAAGGGACAGTGACATTTCCTTCTGCCAACCTTCCCGTATTTCGGTTGTAAGCAATTACTGTGCGCTGGCACGTTGCCTTGGACAATAAGCATCCGATACTAATTGAAGCCTTTGGGTAGTAGTCCAATAAAAAGCTAAAATTCACTTGTTTCCCACTCACAGGGTCCTCACAGAGCTGTGTATTGCCACCTGGAAGTGTTCAAGGACAGGTTGGATCAACCTGGTCGAGTGGAAGGTCTCCCTGCCCATGGCAGGGGGGTTGGAACTACATGGTCTTTGAGGTCCCTTCAATCCAAACCCTTCTATGGTGTGCCACTAACACATTTGTATCCCCGAGCCAAGCCCTGCAGCCTGCTTAAGTCCCTGTTTTGAAACAGAGTAGGAGGAGAGAGGAAGAGGCAGTCGATTGGGGTATCCCAAACATTTAAAGAACTTTGTCCAACACAGAATATCCCAGCCAACTCAACTGGACAAATCCCGGCTCACACTCTCAATGTGCACAAGTATCCTGTGCAATAGAGAGGCTGCCAACAACTTGCTGCTTTTTTCTTCAGTCTTTTCTACTCCCATTGTAAAAAATTCAGTGCAACCGTGTTGCCAGGTTTGTAAATCTGAATGAGACCATGTGAGCTGAGTTGACTATTTTAAGAGGGTTCTTGCAAGTAATTACAAGGTAGAAACGAGAACACTTCACACCTACATTCTGACTGAAAACTACTCAGCCCTGCTGGCTCCAGGCTTTTAATTGTCAAAAGAGTTCAAGGTTTGGAAAATTATTGGCATCAAGTAATACTGGATATTCCTAACTAGCATTGTGTCATTATTTGGCATGATTTTTGCTGGGATACCTCCCAAATGTGTGACATAATCAGAGGGTTCTCTACATTACACCATATAGTCAGATGCTCGTGTTAGTGGAATACGTTACCACGTTTAATACCATTTGCTATTATTTACACTTAATCAGCTCTGGAACCAGTTAAACCATATCGGAAAAGCAATTTCAGAGGCTTTCAACTGACAGTTTTCCACACACAACTTGACCTAAAATTACGACCTACGGTTTCTAAGATGCGGTCTACATACGCAATTGCTTCTAAACAAACATCCATAACTCTCCACAGCCCTGTGGGAACTGAAAATTCGTATGAAAACAGAAAAAGAAAAAAAAAAAAGGCACAAAATTAACTTCTGTAGAACTGTCTTAACTGGAAAAGCTGTCCAGAGTTTCTCCTTCTGGCCAGCCTTAATGTACCACCTCAGCAATTTTACACCCAACCTCCACAATTATTACAAGCCTCCAGCAACACAGAAATGTCTGGGCTCTCCAACATCAACCCCCTTTTCTGGTTGAAATCCCAGTGCAGTCTCTCTGGAGTGACTCACAGTAAATCCAACACAGCTATCTTGGGGTGTGCATTCCCATACATTTGTTTTCAAAGTAAACTAACAATTTCACCCTTTAACTCATGAAATTCAAGGGAGCAAAATGATTAAGGATGCAGAACTCCCAAGATGCAGACTAGGATTTGCAGAAATCACTTTTGGACTTCTGGTTTGTTATCTCACAGTATCCAAGTGTCAGAAATGGCTGAATAGTCGCCCAGGGAAAATCAGGGTCTCTTTGGGTGCCACCAGCTGAGTACCCTGCACCCCAAACCACTAGTTGCTTTTGAAAAACCTCATTATTTACTTTTCTACCTCTCTGTAGGAAAGGAATAGACATTTAAATAAATTACATAATCCTTATTACCATTCTATTCATTCATGCAGGTCACTATAATTTACTGCCAGGAAAAATAAACTTCTGCATAATATTCCTCAATGTAAGACATTCAAAAGGCTCACAGGGGGAGAGGAGGTGAGAGGGATTCTGACAAATATTTGCTCAAGTGACCGCATCATCCATGAACACATTTGCTAGAAAAAATATGGGTGAAGAAATTTATGGTCAACATGAAACATGCCAGATTGGGACTGGGGTGGCAACAAGGAAAAAGGAGCAGGGGACAGAGAAGGGGAATTTTTAACCAGTTTAGTTTCAGCAAGAAAAACTTCCAGTATTGCAAAAGTAACTTTTCTTTCCCGTGTAGCCTGTGAAACAGAACGGTTTTAAGCAAAAAAAAAAAAAAAAAAAAAAAGTTGAATGAATCTAGACTTACCAAAGAATTAAGGAACAAAATTCAAAACAACAAAACATCACCAAAAAAAACCTAAAACCCATCATCCCCTGAAATTCTTCCTGGGCCAGGCCCTGTAGGCCAAGCCTCATCCCTTGCAAGCCAGGCGAGCAGCCCAAGCCCTCCGGCGAGATGGTCAGCAGAGGACAGAGGCACACAGAGCACAATTCACTGCCATCTCTGGAGGCTGTTGCTGCTCCACCAGTCTCTGAGTTCACCTCAATAATACCCACAGCTCGCTCTACCGAGGACAACTAAATATTGCCAAGGCTATAAAAATCCTCACTGCTTTCAGTGTTGACTACCTAAACCCAAGTCTGGGTGAGTTGGGTAGACTGGCTTTGAAAACTTAAATGTATTGAGGCTGGTGTTAGGGCTTCAGTCTGATGGCATCCCTATCACAAAATCCTCCTCTGCTCCACAAAGGCTAGCCCCTCACTGGCGTTTTCATAGGGAATGTTTTCATTTCTTGTGGCCTGAGAAGCTGGCATTTGCTTGCTTCTGCATTTGGGGGTCAGGTTTAAGTGGTCCTAGACAAACTAAGACATGACTTCTAAAGACCATCCAAAATAGTGCAAGGGACACACTTTTATTCACATAAAAACACAATCAAGAAATAAGGAAATTAATGTTTTGACACTGTTTTGGTTATATAAATCCAAACCATAGCAAGACACTCCACAGAAATTGGCCTGTCAGTCACCAGCCAAAAAGAGCTTACAATAGTCCAATTCCTTTTTCCTTTCAATACTGACTGACCAAAAGTTTTATTCCCCCAGTTTGCGACACTCGCATCACCTCACAATCCTGGACAAAGCAAAGCCCATTCATGACATACTTCAGAAACTGCAGCTCAGACACCCAAAGGTGCTACCAGCAGGTCCTATTATCACCGCCAAACTGATTACTTTTGTACAGCAATGCCTTCAGAGTCAATAAAACTGCTCACACCCATCCAGGCTAATCAGAAAGGGTAGGGGTAAACAGAGCTGGTTCCTGAGATTTCAGGCCCTAATTTAACTAAGCACTTAAATAAATACATGTAAGCCTTATTAAAGTCAACAGGATTTTGGTATTACTAAGTTAACAGTACTAAGAATGTGCTTAATAGTCCT